GAGGGATCCTAATTATTATCCATCACAAAGATATACCCTACATACATCTATAACTTAATAAAAAAAATAAATACTATCTCATACAATTACATACATCCAAACATCCACTTTAGTGTTTGGCTTGAGCACAAACAAGACAGAAATCGATTCATCTGCAGTGTGTGTTATCTGCCAATAGCTGCTAGCTAGATTTAGGGTGTAGAGTCATTTTTCAGCTTGTCATTCTTGTTACAAGTTATCTACAGTCAGCTAAAGTTTAAAATTCCTAATTACCACAGTCAGTAAAGTGAGATTTAAAGATTTAAGTTACTTTTTAGCCAAACTAAACAAGAACGTAGTAAATACAATGCTTCCCTCCCAAAATTGTGCCTCTGTCTCAACATTCACCATGGTGTGACGTACCTTCCATAATAACTAGATACTACACATATTTAATATTATATTATATAAGAACAAACATCACTGATATACAACACAGAGAATTAGTCTGCAAGTCATTAAAAATAATGATTTGCTGATCAAATCAGCAGTTTCCAATAGAAAACAATTGATGTGAATCACTAGCTGAGAATTATTTGGGTCACGTGACATGCTAACGTATCTTTTTTTTTTTTATACTTGTAGCTGTCTCAGCTCTTATACTGTATCTTTGGGGCTCTGGGAAGTTTTGAGAGAGGACCTGGCTGCAAACCTTTGCACCTCAATACCAAACCTCCGCCGTAGTAGAGGTAATCTTCTTTGTCTCATTTCTGTGTTAAAGAGGTAGCATTAGTCCATTTGGTAGCAGAGAAGGTGGAATGATTTAACAGGTAAGTTAAAGTCTTTCTTTAGTTTTTAAAATTGATAACGTACTGTTGAGTAGAACTGCTTCAATCACTAATTCGCAGGACAGCAGATTAGCCGCTGGGGGATGGCTAATGTCTGGCTTATGTTAGCTACGTTTTTATATATATTTTTTAATCTGTGTGCTAGGTACCTGGGGGAAAAACAAAAAGACCCAATGGAGCAGAAGTACGTGATTTCCCGTCAGCTACGGAGGTCCACCATCTTGTCTACAGCGAGATATGCTTGAGTTATAGATCTTTAGGAATTATGATCAGAAAGGATAATAAGAAGTTGACTGATAAATTGGACCCTTTAATTACATCAGTCAAGATGAAATTCAACTCTTGGTTAGCCAGAGATTTATCTCTATACGGTAGAGTCCTACTCAACAAAGCAGAGGGCCTGTCAAGAGCCTCATATCTTTTTTCCTCAATTAATGTCACTAAACAGAAGACATCTTGTTTAGACAGACTTCCCATTGATTGCATTTGGAAAAATAAACCACACAAGGTTAAAAAGGAAATTGTGTGTTTACCTCTTACAGAGGGAAGGCTCAATGTTCTAGATTTTTCTTCATTTAGCCATATTATAAAAATTAATTGAATCAAAAGATTTCTAATAAAATCCAGATAGCATGTGGAATATCATTCCAAATTTCCTATTTAAAAAGGTTGGTGGTTTAAATTTCTTATTAATGTGTCCCTTCACTGTGGGCAAGCTCCCAGTCAAACTCTCCAACTTCCATATATCAGTCCTTATGAGCTGGTCTCTCTTATATAAGCACTACTACTCTCCTCATAAATATTTTTATAGAATAATGCCATTATCACTTACAACATCGAATCCCTGTTCTTTGAAAATTGGTTTAACAATAATATTCTACTTGTAAAGCAGCTGTTTAACTGTGATGGAGCTCTATTATCATATGAGCATTTCATAGTTAAGTACAGGGTTCCTGTCTCCCAGCATGAGTTTAATACTGTTATTAATACACTTCTGTCTGGCATTCTCTGTTTAGTATGCTCCTTCTCAAACACACACCACTCTATCAATTTAGATATCGCTGTTAATGGCACTTCTAACTTTGATAAAAGATTCAATATCTTTATAAGAAACGCCCTCATTCCAAAAACAACAACAGCTGTTAAACATAAATGGGCATGCCAGACTCTTGATGGAAGAACATGGAACACAGTTTTTACTCTGCCCAACAATTTGTCTTATCCAACAAAGCTTAAGAAATTTCCTCTAAACTTTTACATAAATTTTATCCATCAAACTCCATTATTTGTAAATAAGTTCCAAACAGAAGAAAAATGCTCCTTTTGCAACAGTGAGGTAGAAACTCTAGACCATCTTTTTTTTTTCCAGTGTGTACGTGTGACAGTATTTTGGACTGACTTTTGTTTTGATCTCAAAAATTATCTTGGTAAGGAAACATTACTTAAAGAATATAACATAAATTTTTGACAAGCCCAATTTGTCTAGCAATGAAAAATGTATTAACAATCTGTTTATTATCTTGGCCAACATCTTGATTTGATTTATTTATTATTTCAAACATGTAACAACAGTTAGTATGTAATCACACATAATTCCAGACATGTCCACAAAAATATTTTCAGTTTGCTTATACCTAGTACATGCTTGAACGGAGTAGGAAGAAGTCAGACTTATCTAGTCCTTCCCCCTAACATCATCTTATCATCATTGGTTTGCAAGCAGTATTACTACATGGATACATATTCTACTTCCACATTCCCGTCTGATTAATCATTAAGCCTGTTCTTGCATATATCTTGATTGACACATACCTTTATATCTGTGTTTAAACTCATCAATATTCTTACTGCTTTTTATGTCCATACCTAAATTATTCCATAGTTTTACTCCACTTATCGAAATACAGAA